TGAATGGGCTGAGAGGGCTTCCATGTAAAGTGTTTGAAGAATTATGTGAGATATATTTGGAAGGGAGCAGACCAATAAAAACTCTTTTGAGAGGCAAAATAAAGAATTTGCTTGAAATTATTAGATGTCTTGAAATTACCTAAGATCCAGCTTCAGATAATAAAGTCCTAAATACACTTTATTTGTTACAAAAGTTTGCCTTTATGCAGATTTAGCTCAATTTAATAGAATTGATGCTTTAGTTTTGAAGTCTGTTTCAAGAGAAAGAAATGAGTAAAAACATGTTTCAAGTATCTGGAAAAGATATATTAAAATACGAATTCTTAGAACCAGCTTACCAAAACCTCTGCATTTTTTGTTTTATCACATTTTATGATATGTAGATATAGCCGAGTAAGAAGAAAAGCTCTGTCGTGTGTTTTAATTTAATTCATTTTTCAGAAACTAACCAAATGTGAGGCTATGTATCTCTGCACTACACTTAGATACCAGGTTAAGAATACAGAATTTAACCCGGCACCAGATGTTTTGTTATGATAACTCCAAATATCTAGATTCTTTTGAATTATTCACCTAACTTCTAACTGCCTAAAATTTCCGTAGACAGAACCTTAGATGTAATCGTGTTTTACAGAGATGTTAGACTGGTTCCATTACAGGTAAATGTCCCCTGGATTTGGTTTTCTTTTTTAATATATCTTATAAAATGTTATTTGTTTGCATTTAAAATATTGACAACACTTGCACAGGCTTTCAAAATGAGAATTACATTCAAAGAGATTGGCAAGATGGAAAAAAAACTCTCTCTTCTTAAATTTATTTCTAGCTTTGTTTCTTTCTTCTTATTATGGTATTTTATATTCTGTACACATTTCTCAACTTTTCAAGAAGAGGAATAGAACTAAAAATTGCATCAGGTGAAACCAAAGTTGACAAAACAAAGGATGGACTATTTTGAAATGTAAATAGTAAATCATTTTTATAATGTAGCTATTTTTGTTCATTGTGAGGTTGCTCTTGAATTAAAATTATTTTAATTTAATAAATATAAATTGATTAAATATTAGTGGCTAATAATTATGTTTTACCTTTGAAAATAGTAAATTGTGATTTTCCAACTGATGAAATTAATGTCTTCCAGTCAGTGTCATACTAAAAATTATGAATTGGATTATAGAATCCCAGTCAAAAAGTATGACAGCTTTCTTTGGTTTATAATCAATTAACTAATCTGACTTATTATGTAGGTTATGCATTTTAATCTACTTTATACATGTCCATAATTTTACATTCTACTCATATTACCTTTACATTTTTTAAATTATTCCTTTAAGAAGTTTTTTTTTAACACTAACTACATCATCTGGGTTTCTTCTACATAAATTAAATATTCAGATACATAACTATTCTGTTTCCACAAATCTAGTCCTGTGGGTTACTAGTAACTCATTGGTGACTGGTTGTTAACAGCATTCAGTTCAATTAGTCAACTGTATATCAGATGTCTATAAGTTAGGAAATTATAGACATCTAAGTTCTAAATAGCCATTTCTAAATTATACACATCTGATATACAATTGACTAACTATTAAAAATTTCTTTCTTCTTCCTATTCTGGGGAAGGGATTCCCTATTCTGGGGAAGGGATTCATATTCTGGGGAAGCGATCCTACTGCCACTGGAATATATATAACAATTCCTTGTGGCTTTAGAGAACCCGCTACTGCCGAACTCGAAAAAGTGAAGAAATGGGGGAAAAGTTAAATCCTTTGCAAGACTTGATGCTAGCTATCCTGATGGTGGATTTCCTGTCCTCAAATGGTTTCCCACACAATGTTTGTGTGCTTCACTTCATTTAGTTATTATATTGGTTAAAATTCCACCACATTAAGAATCATTGTGTTTTTATACATATCCTTAAGAAATATGTAGCTATCTTAGGACCATGAAATGATTATCAACTGTTCACTCATTAGTGTAACTCTATCCAACTGGCTAATAAACTCCTGATGGGATAGGGATGCATTTATGAAGAAAAAAGACTCAAAGTAGAATTGTAGGTTTGAACACATCTAGATTTAGAAGAGAATAGAGTTAAATTCATTTTCAAAGACTATTTAAGCTCAAAGACAGTAAGAAACAGCCATTGATAGTAAAGCCCTTGAGAAGAGTGGGGATGTGGCAAATAATATCACAAGAGGAAAAAGAGTAAGTTACTGGCCTCCTACATATCTCACTCCTCATAACCACCATTTTATGAGGTAGGCATTACTTACTCCATTGTTTCCAAATGAGAAAAGCGGTGTGGAGTTGCTAAAGAGTGGGTTGGGAATCAAAACCAGATCGGTGTGACCAAAAAGTTCACTCTCTCTGGCAGAAGACAAATATCAACAATTTCAAAAACTTACTATAGAAACTTCTCCCCAGCAAAATAAGGGAAAAACTTGCCTTATCTTCCTTCTTTTTGCATCAAGATTTCTTCTCAAATCTGCCAACAATATTAGTACTATACCCCTAATGCATAATTTATTGCACAAATTTGTAATGTCTCTATGGGAATATGGATTCTTATATTCAAATATCAAACTTAGGAAATTCTTGAGACAAGTCTTGATGATAAACTAGGAAATGCCTGAAGGGAAGCAAATATCTTTAAATTTTAAAAACTTGCTGGAGATAGCAGGCAAAGGTACATAAAAACAAACAGAAT